GCCTTCAAGGCACCGCCAAACTCTTCAAAGAAAATCTCGTTCAGCTCAAGAAGAGCATCCACAGCGGGAATAGCCTCGAGGGTGAAGCCGCCATCTTTCTCTCCTGCCATTCCATTGACAAGGGCATATAGCTGTGCGCCATCGTCTAAGCTAGACACAACATGCGTGGCATGGTCGGCCAAGGGCTGAGGCATCAAGGGCGAGACCCATGTGTTGCGCGTGGAGTGGCACGTGACCCACGTAATCCACTGAGTACTGCTCACACGTTTTGCAGCGGTCGCTGCACGCCACGAGTGGCATGATCGGACGAGGTCCGAGGCATGCCCTTCAGATGTTCGTGGAGCGACATGTTATCCACTGGACAAAGACTGCGGAGTAAGCAGCTCTTCGTCGGATATTGTTAATAACATCGAGGCTTTGATGGAGCAGGGAGTGGGTACACTGGACGAAGCTGAGTGCGTGTTCTTACTGGCCTCGTTGAGACGCGAAACCTCCATATAGAGAAAACGGCGATTTCGCATGATATCTGCAAGACGCAGGACGTCGACCCTGACCCTCTGCATAGCTGAGATTCATCGTTTTAAATCCCTCGACGAGCTGCTAGAGTGTACATTTCAACAAAGTCGTGCCGATTTAAAGTTATATTCAGCATCCACTACCACATTCACCGTTTTTTCAAAAGTCGACGAGTGCACACAAAAGACTTCTATTCAGGCTACGCCAGTGCGAAGGCCCTTTATAAAGACGGTCACTGTGATCGCCTCGGGAAGAGGATCGGCTGCCATACCGGCAATGAGAGTACGCAACTCTTGAACAAAGTCCACCAATTACTTTTTGCCCTGTCGGGCGGCAAGGAAACGCGATCGCACGTGATATGCCTAGCCAGGCGGCGAGATCACTCATCAAAGCTACATCTTCAGCTCCTTCCAGGAGGGAAACACCATTTCGATCGAAGTGCCGCACGTCAATGCCCATTCTCGCACTCGACCACCGATCTTGGAGATAGCTAGCGCCACGCGCTGATGCTCGGTAATGAGCATGGCAGACGCCATGGCCATCTCGGATTCTCTAACCCAGAGCAAGAAATTCTTTTCATCCTAGCCCTCGAAGTTCTTAGCACTCACCTTGAGTGGCTTGAGTCGAGGGCAGTCATCCGTCGCCGACAGTGGCGTCATGGACGTAGTCGACGCCGACATCTTCTGCTGTTGGTTCTTCAGCAAAGCACTTTTAAATTTTGAGAACAACTCTAGGCGCTCGCTGAAGGTTTCAGGTCCTTGCGATGCATGAGTTGCACGCACTCAGGGCCAAGAAGAGACATCAGCTTTTTAAGCCTGTCCTGCATGCGTTGGGGCATATAGGTTAGTTTCCCCATACATACAGAGGTTCAGTCGAATCAACTCATGCGCAGATAGACTATACGTGTTACCAAGTGCAGCTGGACTGCCGTAGCTCTCTCGCTTAGAGGAAGGCAAGTTAAGGTCGGTGACCTTTGTTCTATACTTACAGTCATTACGAGTTTAGCGGATCGTAATCAACTTACTCCAAAAGTAACCTTAACCCAAGGCTAATGAACTCTAGCGTTTAGAATGTAAACTGAATTTTCTCGAATATATTTGAGGCAAAGCCGCCTATATCTAAAGCTATAGGCTATCCTTTCTATATACAAAAGGCTAATCAAATGTAAGACTACTGGCTATTCCGGCCACGTACTGTGTTGTTGTTTAAGTTTAGACACCATATTGTGTGTTCACCTCATAATGTGTATACTACATCATTTTGTGATCACACAGTCTCGTGTGAACCTCACACTTTATACGAGGGCACGTAAAACGCCGTTAAAATACGGTGCATACCTCGATTCATTCCTCCCCCATAAAATTTAGAGCACCTTAAAACTCACATTTGGATAATCTAACAAAAACATTACTAAAAAGGAATCACCGGAAAGCACCTACTGCACTTAAGGTTTCTGTCCTCCACTAGGACTTTTCGTCGTCTGCTCCTTCGGGGATTAGCCGTAGCGGAATTTCGCTCCTGAGAATACTAGCATCGCTCAAGAACCACTGAAGACGGCGTGTTCCTCGCGGCCGGCAAGCAGAAATCATTTTCGGCGTGAAGCCGACGTATACCTCAGTGACAAGATGAAATTGACTGTGAAAGCCAGTTCATTGAGCCTTCGTCATCACAAACAGACGTGCATCAGAGTGGTCTACGGAGGATGAGTCGTTTTCTATGCTAATCCCGTTCCATTGCAAACTACACAATCTGTGCTTGTTTCCTAGAGTTGGAAGTTTTTTACATCCTTCATCGAATCATACGGCACACCGATCTGGTGCAACATATGCGTGATTGCTTAATTTCTTAGGAAGTTTGGCGGTGTTGATCTTGGATGCCACATTATCGAAGCATTTGGATGCACATTTGCTCTAAGATCCTTGTCCCAGTGCTTGCTATGCTACAGTACTGAATCGCATTTGTAGCATCTCAAGTACAGAATGCAGTACGAGGCAACTGATACGGTCACATCTGAAGAGAAAAGCCTTAGGGCCCAGCCAGTCGTGTAAAACGGGCCGAAAAGGTATTCAATCCTGTCCACAAGTATCAGCACCATAGGCCAGTCTGCCAGCTCTAGCAGATGTTAGCTTCTTATGAGAAATGACTTCATAATTGTTTTATGAGATAAGCGTTCGATAAAAATCGGCATCGTAATTTATGTGAACCGTCTGAGTAAGAAAGAATCTCTGCTCAGTAAGCGACACAATTATCAGTTTATATATATATAAGGTGATCCACATTAAACATTATTGTCAGCATCGATTGCCGGTGGCAATCACATCGACTGCTGTGGACCTCTGCACGCCATTATCATAGATTCAACATAATGGAAATGGTTAGCCGCACCGTGGTGGATGTCATTCATGCCTAAACACCCGTGAATATTTTATAGTGGGGACAGCTCCATTACACATGTTGTGTGAGCCATTTACATTTGTGTATGTTCAACATTAACTATGTATCATGCGTAGTTTTTGATTACTTAAATTGTTGCGTGTATACGGGCGGGCAATTTCCGCTACACTTTTGCTCAGTAACTGAGAAAAACGAGCGCTTAAAAGTCGCTCTGCAAGCGTTGCGTGATTTAAAAGAACAGCACTTCTGACGTGTACCGCCTGCATCTGAAGCAGTAGTGATCAGGCATATCCATATCCTTCATGACAAATGTACTTTCTGTACTGGATGCTGGAGATAGTGCCGATGAGTATTGCATTCAATTCGCGCATTGGATGGAAAATGCACTTTTTTCCAATTTTACTAGCCAGCTTCGAACAAATAAGAAGAAATTAAACGTTGTGAAAAGCCTGGGTTTGCCACTACAGATCACGATGTGGACGCTGAGGCGGGTATGCATTTCATATATTTCTTGTTGTCAATAGTGTGCTTTCTAATATCCATGAGCTGGCTGTTGGATCACTGTCATATCCTAATTGCTAGTTGTAAAACGCGTTGTGCTGGGCGACGTTGCCTTTCCATCAGGAAT